GAGCTACATTTGTGGAAGAGAGCAATCTCCAGCAAACCAGAGTAAGGACAGAGAAGAGCCAGATCCAGGACATAGATGTAGGAGTACCTTTGTTGTTTTAGTGGATTTGTGAACTCTTAACTGCTCTGAGGTCTCACCTATGAGGTTTCTCCAGCTGATCTATCTGTTGCCATTAGACCTGACTGGTTGCAAAGCTGTAGGCTCACACTAAATATGTTTTTGCTGAGTTAAGGTTGAACTTGCAGAATAGAATTCTTCTTACTGTGTGATTAAGGCTCTTGCTACTGTGCAAAGAAACACACAAGGTAAAACAGCATTTTTGTTACAGGATATGGCCTATGCTGCTGAAACACAATCATGTTGCATACATAGCATTGTATTTTGGTAATATGTCATATATTGGAAATGCTGACAGTTTTTTGATAGCTGACAGTTCATTCTGAATGAAGGGAGGCTGGCAAACATACTGCATATCTACAGTCTTTAGCAGTTAAGATGTTTATGTAGTATTGAAAACTTTTCCCAGCTAGGGAATATAAATATAAAATATTTTCTTATATAAAATATAAATATTTTCTTTCCAGATATAATAAAGGAGCAAAATCGAGAGTTAAGAGGTACACAGAGGGCTATAACCAGAGACAGAGCAGCACTTGAAAAACAGGAAAAACAACTGGTAAGTAGAGCAGGGAACTTTATTTTACTCTTTAAAACCAAACACACTCCCCCAGTATAACAGAAAACTTGCAAAGTGCTAAAGATACAACTCAATGTATGATAATTGAACACTAAAAAAAAAGTTGTGTTCCCCTTTTTGACTTTTCAGTTATTAAATTTGTATTGGAAAAAAATTTACTATCTAAAAAGCAATTCTCAGTGTTTAACATAGGAAAAGCCTGAAACAATGTGTTTAGATGAAATAACCACATTAATCTTACCCTTCCATTCTTAGCATTCTCTATTCTTTAGGAGGTTTTTTCTAACAGGCTTTTAAATCAGTGGTCTCATAGTGGAAAAACTAACAGAAGTGTCAGTGCCACCATATGTTACCAGGACACTCCGGAGGGAGAGAGTACTTGAAAAACCATAGGGTATCATGAATAACCTATAAGGTGATTTTCATTCATATAGAGCTTCCATAAAATTATCTAATAATAGTAAAACTATCTGCCTAAATTAAGATTTATTTAAAACTTAGCATGTGTGAGCTATCAAATATTCTGTGCACCTGTGTGGCAGTGTAATTGGATAAATTGATGTGACAGATGGTGGGGTTTGATGCGTGAAGACATGCTCAGACTGTGGGAAAGGCTAAGCAAATCCAGCCACTGTTTCAGTAGCTACTGAGGTGTTGTTTCATGGCACCAGGCCACATGAATACCAAGAGCTGGGAATAATAAACTAAAAGAGGTCAGAGAAGTTGTTCCTGGAAGCCTTGAACATGTAAGATCTAATAGGTTACTCATAGATAAGGCATTTTTCTGTATGAAATATTCTGACTCTGGAAATATGGCCTGGTCATAATAATTTCTTTGCTTTTTGGTTGTGTTTTGTTTTGGGGTTGGGTTTTTTTTTTTTTTGAAGTGTTACTCCCTATCCAGATATGGAATTGAATGTGCACATATAAGTGTGTGTGTTGTTATGCAGAATTTGAAGCCTTTTGGGGAACTGTGTGCTACTATAATTCAGTTTTGTTGTGTTTTTTTAAGTCTGGTTAAATCATAACAGCATTGCATTTATTCTAATAAACAGCCTTAGTAAAAAACAAGGAAGATTTTATATAACTTTAAGTGTCTTTAAAATGTCTTTACCTTCTGGAATTTAATTATTAATGTTAAGGCTTAATTATAGTCTTTCTTTGAATTAAAAATCAGTAGAATTAATCATAACTTTTTTTAACAGGAACTGGAAATAAAGAAAATGGCTAAGACTGGTAACAAAGAAGCCTGTAAAGTGCTAGCAAAGCAGCTTGTACAGCTGCGGAAGCAGAAAAATAGAACATATGCTGTTAGCTCTAAAGTCACTTCTATGTCAACTCAAACAAAGGTCATGAACTCTCAGATGAAGATGGCAGGAGCTATGTCAACTACAGCAAAAGTAAGATTCTCTTACATTAAAATCCAGCATATAGTTGCAAAAGTTGTGTTATTTTATATAAAATAATTGAAGAGATAAAGCTTACTGCTTAATACCCGAAATGATGTTGAGGCTGCAGTAGGGAAATGTAATTTGATTTACATTATGAAATTTTTGTCTGGTCAATCCAGCCAGTGAGCACCTAACTAAGCCTATTTTTATGGGCTAAACCTCTGTCAAATGTTTGCATAAAAATAAACTCTTTAATGCCAATGGAATAACTCTTTAGTACATCAAAAAAAACCCCAAACCATGCTCCTACAGTGTCTTACCTCTATCTTGTCACAAGCCATTTTTACTGGGAAAAAGTAGGGCATGCTTTGTCTAGAAATCAAGGCAGTGTGTCATAGTAGCTTTATGGCTTGTGCAAGAAGTAGGTTATTGCTTCCGATCTTAAATTCCTAAGGAAATCTAATTTGGAATTCTATGTCACTCTCACTCTCCCTGCTCTAAGGAAACAGTATTGCATTAAGTTTTCACACAAATCTCATCTTGTAACAGAGTCTCAGAGTCTGAAAAATCCCCATCATCTGAGTTAGTTGTGAACTTCCTCCTGTTTCCCTAACTTGAGAAATAGGGAATTTGCTTTTGGCAAGCAGGATTGTTCAGCTTGAGGTGTAGGAAACCGAATTAGCACACATCATTGTAGACAAGTTGTGCTTTTATCACAGTCCAAACTAAATCCAGTTACGTGCCATTTAAACACAGTAATGCAGCACAGCTTAGTGTAGAACATAATTACTGCTACGGGTTTGCTGTCAGGTATCTTTCAAACTTGCAGATATACCAACAGTTCAGTGCTGCAAAGTTGTGACTCTGTAGCAAACTTTCCATTCTCCATGACTAACCCACAAAGAGGGGCCTCCTCTGACTGTACAACACTTAAACAGCTTACTCAGTATTCCTACAACTGTGTTACATGTTAACAAGTTTGTCTTGCTTTTTAATCACTGCATGGTTGACTTGATTTTAATCTATGAGACATCTTAAATGTCTCAAAACCAAAGTGTCACTAGACTAATTATGAAGGTTAAGTCAGTAGAAAAAAACCAAATATATATATATAAAAAATAAATTAGCCAGAATCCAGAAAAGTGCTATTTTCTGGAACACAGCAGGTACTTCTGTGGACTAGTTTGTGTAACATTATTAGAGAGGAAGGTGTTAAGTTTTTTTGGTGACTTTTAAAGTGATTATTTTGCCTTATCACACAGAAAGCTAAAAAAGGTATTTAGTTTTTGAAGTATTCTTAATCTCATACAACCGTCAGTGAAAAATACAGAGAATCAATTGCTTCAACAAGCAAGACAAATACATGAATGCAAAGCTTTCAAAGTATTTTCTATATGCTTTTTAGCATGTTGTGGTGGTTGCACTGGGCCAGCAGCCAAGCACAGTTGCTCACTCACTCCCCCCCATCCCCAGGGGATAGGGGAGAGAATTGGGGGGTAAGGGTAAGGAGACTCATAGGGTGAGATAAGAACAATTTTATCATTGAAATTAAAAACCCCTTAAAATAATAATGAAATAATAATAGTAGTAAAATATGCAAATGAGTGATGCCCAGTGCCATTGCTCACCACCTGCCAACCAAGCCCGGCCCGTTCCCAGATAACAATCCCGGAGGAGCCACAATCCCGAACCGAAACCGCAATCCCGGGAGAGCCAGGGCCTGAGCCAAAGCCAGAGAGAGCAAGAGAGGAAGAGCTCCTCATGAATCTCCTGCCCATGGGGGACAGGAGATGGAACAGCCCCTTGGCAGAGCCAAAAGCCAATTGACCTCATTAATTTAAATATTCCTCACTCCCTGAGATCTTGCGCTTGCAGACGGACAGAACACAAAGTCCTTCACTGCCAGGGACACAAATGCAAACACTGGGATGTTCTCAGCATTTCATAACAAATCCCAGCTGAACCCAAACCCCAGCACTGTTCCAGCTGCTGTAAAGAAACCAGCTGAGTCTCAGCTAAAAACCAGGACATATGTATGGCCCCAATTTTGGACATAGTAAAGTCCAGTTAAGAGTTACCTGTTTCTTTTAATCATGCCTCTGACCTTTATTTTCTGAAGCTATATAAACTCTATATTAGTTTAGTGCAAATATTTTTGATGTCCATCTGTAACTCTTGTAAAAGAATTCTAAAAAACCATAACAACTTTTAAAATTCCAATCACGTGCCTATGAACAACAGCCTTTGAAATTCAAGTGACATGAGAAACATAGCACATTATCACTTTAAACAAACTCAGACATGAAGGCAGAAGAACTTCTACGAAGCCAGTAGCAGCTGTACTAGCTTGATAGCATCCTTTTTAATTAACCAACTCTTTTATCTTCTCAAAGATGCTTAGACTTTACATTTGAATTGCTCATGTTTATATTTAGGTTTCAGTGTCCCATGAGAGATACAGTAGGTTGCTTCTGAGGAAGAAGAAAGTATTAAATACCAATGCCTGCCAAGGCAGTGCTGCCTACTTACAGTAAAACAGGTGACATATTGTTACACCATCACAGAAAGATTTCTACCCATTACAAAGGTTGACCCTCAGCTAATATAAACTTCCTGAACACTTTGATATTTGGTTTTCTGTGAAAAGTAGGTTTTTTTTCCATTGAATAACATAAGTAAACAGTTGCAATTTAATTTTTGTTCAAATAGTAGTGGTTCAAATAAATTTTCCTTCCTGAATAAAAAACTTGCAGCCATTTACCTCTTTAAAGAGTATAGCCTGCAAGTTAGGAAATACTATCCCATTCTTTTCATCTAAATCAGGCAGATTTTTCCTAGTATAAGGCCAGGAGAAGGATTGTGGTGCAAGAAAGACACATACATTTAAAAGCATATCTATTAGGGTAGTAGATAGGAATATTTCTTAATAGATGTAGACTGTACTATCGATCTGTTGTGTTTCTACAGTTCTCAGGGGATATCAAGAGATAAGGAAAGTGAAATTTGGACTGAAGAGGTTTTTTTATTAGAAAAGTCTTATTCTTTCTTAATGTATAGATTGTAATTTACTAGTGTCTCATTGTATGATTAAGGATTTTTTTCAATATTAATAGACAATGCAAGCAGTTAATAAGAAAATGGATCCACAAAAGACACTACAAACGATGCAGAATTTCCAGAAAGAAAACATGAAGATGGAAATGACTGAAGAAATGAGTAAGTTCTACATTGCAGGGAACAGCTAGCTGGAGCCCAAGTGCTCTTGGAAGGGTAGAACCAGTCTAGAAATACTGATGCTTGAAGTTTTATTTCTACAATTAATTAAACTGTCATAAAAATTGAAGAGCAAACAAAACAATGCACATCTGAGCAGGGAGGCTGAGCCTTGGGCTTTTTAGTAGCTCTAGATACTAAATCTAGAATCTGTTTCTTCCCATCTTCATGCAAAACACCCATCGTACTTCTAGAAAGAACATAAGGGAAGGGAAGAGAGTTTGAGACCAGTTCAGAATCTTATTGGCTTAACTGATAGGGAGACTTGAAAAATTGTTCTTTCTGTAGCCAATAATTCTGTATGTGCTTTTTATTTTGGGGCTGGACACTTAAAATTAGATATTGATAATCTCAGCTTTACATACATGGTGATATGGGGTGATTTTGTTTCCATTTTTTATTTTAAGCAACTTCTTTGAAGGTGTCAAGTTTCTTGTTCCCAATTGCATCTGTCCACTGTCAGCTAAATAATCCCCAACATCCTGGTGTTGCTAGCACAGTCTCCTTCCTATCCTAATCCCTGCCACTGTCTTGGCCATAGTAAGTAGCATGGACTCAAAACTATAGTGTTGATCAACATGTGAATCACAGACTGGTTTGGGTTGGAAGGGACCTTAAAGATCATCCAGTTCCAACCCCCCTGCCAGCAGCAGGGACACCTTCCACTAGACCAGGTTGCTCAAAGCCTCATCCAGCCTGGCCTTCAACACTTACAGGAAGCAGAATCCACAGCTTCTCTGGGCAACCTGTTCCAGTGTCTCACCACCCTCACAGTGAAGAATTTCTTCCTGATATCTCATCTAAATCTCCCCTCTTCCAGTTTAAAGCCATCACCCTTTGTTCTATCACTACCTGACATTGTCACAAGTCCCTCCCCAGCTTTACTGTAGGCCCCTTCAGCTACTGGAAGGCCGCTAGAAGGTCTCTCAGAGCCTTCTCTTCTCCACTGTGCAGAACTGCATTGTCACAATTCAGAAATTAGCTGAGTAGTAACAATTTCACAACTTACCTAAACAAGGAAGAGGAAAGGGATTTTTATGGAACTGTAGAAGATGTTTTTAAGAAATGTTAAAATCTGGTGGCGGGGAGATAAAGCAACTGAACTATTCTGGTGAAATTAAACATTGTTATAAAAGCTGTCGTGCCTTACACCCTGTTGCTGTTGCTCTGGCTGTGCTTGCAGTCTTTGGAAGGCAGAGGTAAGAAATCCTCTCCAATATACAGGTGCTTTCTCTTGGTATCTTACACAGTGGTATTACTACTACATTCTGGGAAGGTAGAAAGATGGCACCAGATTATTTTAGTAACCTTTTTGCTTAATGCAATGTGGGTTTTTAATTTTTTTCTTTCTTCTAAGTTAATGATACTCTGGATGATATTTTCGATGCTTCCGATGAAGAAGAAGAAAGCCAAGATATTGTTAACCAAGTGCTTGATGAGATAGGAATTGAAATCTCTGGAAAGGTATGGCTATTTTTACCCAGTTCATGTACTTCTTCCCCTTTTAAAAATAGTTTGTTCTAGCAGCCTTTATTTTACAGTCTTACTCTAGAAGTCAGCTTGTCATAACATGTATTGTTTTTAACTGAAGAAAACTATCTTCTTCTAGATGGCCAAAGCTCCGTCAGCTGCCAGAGGCTTACCATCTGCATCAACATCAAAAGCTGCTACCATATCCGATGAAGAGATTGAACGACAGCTCAAAGCTTTGGGAGTTGATTAGCTTGATGGCAATATACAATCTGCCTTCTAATTATTCAGCTGCAGACAGATGTAAAAAGTGCAAATACTCATTCAATGCAACTGATGTCTAGGAAAACCCTGAAGCTTCAGAAATGGCAACTTGAAGTTGGTACTGGGGGGAAGGAGAAGGGGAGAATATTTTGAATCAATTCACAGGGAGGAGTTCACTAGGTGGGTTCATTGCATGGACTCTCTGAGCACTGGACCAACCAGGGATGTAGTTCTGATGATAAATTCATTTCAGAATGTCCTCTGAATTCAAAGTTTTCTTCTCTCTCAGTTCCTGATCTATCTTTAGAATTGGCTATTCTGGGGCTGGTGGTGATGCCTCCTAGGACAGCACCTAAATAATGTATATAATTTAAATAAAACTATCACTATAGAAAAATTCTTAGTCTGTCATCTTAGCACAAATGAAACTTCACCTTTGCTCTTAGCTGGAAATTATTTTCCTTTGATGAGAAATAGCCTCGAAAGCGTAGCAAATTTAGGCAGAAAGAAAAAGCATTTTATGTATTTCTTTCAAGTTCCTGTAGTAACTTTTGAGTTGATTGAATAATAGCTGGTTATTCTTTTTACTGAAAGGGAAGGATACAGTCCTTGTGCAGTTAATTTTACTGGAAGAGGATTTAAATTTCTTAGTGAACTTTGTTGCATGAAAGGCACTGATTGAACTCTATTGTACTGTAAAATAGCTGGTTTCAACAGAATTGCTGTGCCTTTATGTATATAAATCTTGTACCTTTGTGATTTTTTTTTTTTTATTTTCAGAATGAGTCTTTGAAAGGTGAGTAAATTTGTAATTAAGATGGTTTCACAAAACACGATGGTGAGACCTCTGTGTACACTTGATGGGACTCAGTGCTGAAGTTCAGAAATGCACTTGTTCAGAAAAATGCAACTTACGCACTTGCAAAAAGAACATTTGCCTGAAACAACCTTTGTATATATTTTACAGTATTTCTTAATGAAAGATAACTGTGCATAATTGTATTGTTTACTAAGATGCACTAGATCACATTGATAAACTAAATTTTAGTTTTGAGAACAATTTTGGATGCTACCTGATAATTACTTGTCTAAACACTATAATAAAAGTGTTCTGGTTCTGTGAAGGTTTTTTCTATGGTCTCTGAACTGCATCAGCGTGATTCTAGCTCTAAGTGGAGTGCATTGGGCTAAGGAAATAAGAACTGTTGATATTTTTATATAGATGACAAAGTCTGAGAATGCAGTTCCCAGATGGTGTGAAGTTCCTCAGCTCTTACTCTGCTGGAGATTATTTGCCCCTCAGTTGTGCTGATTTGGTGGGGCTGTTCATTGAACAATAACAACAAAATCATCCTGGCTTTAAAAAGAGAAAAGCAAAATGCCTCTCAAGAGTGAAACTAGGATAACTATGGGGGACAAACTTCACAAAGAGACTCTGCTGATGGAAAAAGCGTAGCAGGAAACCTTAACCTCTATGAATCAACTGTTGTCACACCATCTGCTTTTTAGGATTGAAGTCAGCAGAGAAATAAAAAAAAAACATAGGTGAGCCTTCATCTGATTTTTGGCATAGAAATGCAGATATTCTCTCTCTTTGGAGGAGGTAATGGACAAACTATGAATCTGTAAGGTAGTGGGTAGGAACGTGTAAGTTTATATATTTCAAATATCCACTATGAGGTGAATTTTTTTTTTTTAACAACTTATTTTGTAAAAAAATCTAATAAAAAGCTTTTTATTCTGCAATGACTTTGTCCTCTGTAGGGTTAGTCTTACACGTATGTCTCTTTAGTGGGCTTTATTTGAACTCCTGTTAGCTCTGATCAATTTTCCTTTGTCCTGAGCTATAAAACAGCAGAATAGTTGTAGTTGCTTGTGGGCCTTTGACTTAAATTCAACATTCAGTAACGACTTGATCAAGTTTTCATTCCCTTCTGTCTGTAACTGGGTGCCTTAGCACTGCTCTTAGGCATTGAAGGAAAAACCATTATTTGACATTAATTAGGTATAAAATGTTAATGATTGATTGTATTTTGGTTGAACACCAAGGCTTATGTCCTTTCTGAATGAAGTGTGCACTTTATCCTTTTAAGGACTGTCAAAATTAGGCAGAATTCTGAGTTCTTTCCTCTATCTATGGAGTCTTTGACAAACAGGGATAAAAACATCGCTTTTTAGTGTCCATAAGACTGCTGAACTAGGGCTACTGTCAATATTTATCCAGTGTTTCTCTTAATACTTATCTTTTTAAGTCCTGCAGCTCTAATGTGTATAAAATCTTTCAGTAACAGAGTGAGAGGTGGTGTAGGTTTGCAGGCTTCCTTGTATTTATTTCAGTTACAGTTAGTATGTTGTCTATAACCAAATTGCATCCCCTACTTAGAAACAGCTTCCTTTTAAATCACTCTTAGCAGACTGAAAAAAAACCCCTACTCAATCCTGTAACTCCGTTATCCTCACTGACACCTTAATAGCAACGGAATCATAAAGTCCTCCATCCAAGAACAATGCAGTTGTGCACGTGCTGAAGAATAGCTCTACTGGGGCAGACTGAGATCCATCTCACCCAGAATCTTACTCCACAAGAGCCCACAAGCAATGCCCAGGAAAACATGAGAACATGATAAACACAGATGACGCTTCCTCCCCTAATACTCTTCCAACCTCTGTTTTCAATTTAGAGTGCTTCCAGAGCTGTAAGTTCCTCCATATACAACAGCTCTGAGTAGCTTTCTCATCTGTGAACTCATCCATATAAACAAACTTCTAGCACCAACATTTTTTCCAGTAGAAGAGTTCTACAGATTTTTCCCCACCACTTTGTCTTCCACTTCTTTCCAGCTTCACGTTTACTCCTAATTCTTACATGAGACATCAAGATGGTGAACAACCTGCCTCCATCCAGCCCTTCAATACAGCTCAGAATTCAGTAGACCACTGTAGCATTCAGTGCACACACATTAAATCTAGAAGAGAGACAGTAGCTTAAATAATTACTCATCTTACCTTTGATGATCAGCGTTGCCTCTATAGGGGCATTTTCTAGGCCTGTTGTATCCTTCAGATGAGGGGAAAAGAATGCTGCATGGGACTTCCAAGACAGACAAACCACATTTTTATAAATTATCATAATTTATAAACATCTTGTTTTGTCCTCTATTCTAGTTTTAATACCCTGCCTAAAGTTACCGTGGGAAAAGTAAGAGCAACAAAAAACCCCCCCACAAACATCTCAAAGAAAAATTTTGTTAGTCAAAAGGCCACCTGAACTCTTACTTGCAGGTTTAGAAAGCTGCCCCTCAGAAGTCTTATCTAGGGGTTTTACCCCAAAAGTGATTCATGGCAATTACTCAGTAAGTTGTTCCTACAGGAAAAAAAAAAAAAAAAATAAAAACTGAAGTGCCACTTTCTCCAAGTCTAATGGCTGCAGCTGCAGCACATTAAATTGATGTCATCCAGCTTTTTTTTTTTTTCTTTAAACAATTCTGCTCTAATTTGTATTTCTGTGGCAACAGCTAGATGTGTTTAAATGGTGGCTGCTTCCTCCACTTAGCCTTTAGTCATTCTTTTGCAAGAAAATGGCATTATGTGTCAACCCTTCATTTTATTTCGCTGTGCTTCTGCAATTAGCCTTCACTTGTGAGACTTTTTGTAAGACGAGAAATCACAGTGTTATGATAAGTCTGCTCTTGAATTAACTGTTTGTGGTGGTTTCACTTGGCCAGCAGCCAAACACAGCTGCTTGCTCACTCCCTCAGCCCCAGGGGGATAGGGGAGAGAATTGAGGGGCAAGGGTAAGGACACTCATAGGGTGAGATAAGAACAGTTTTATCACTGAAATAAAAGAAAACTTAAAATAATAATGATACTAAAATAGTAATGATAATAATAATAGTAGTAAAATATGCAAATGAGTGATACCCGGTGCCATTGCTCACCACCTGCTGACCGAGCCAGGCCCGTTCCCAGATCACGATCCCGGAGGAGCGACAATCCCGAACCGAAACCGCAATCCCGGGAGAGCCAGAGCCCAAGCGAAAGCCAGAGAGAGCAAGAGAGGAAGAGCCCCTCATGGATCTCCTGCCCATGGGGGACAGGAGATGGAACAGCCCCTTGGCAGAGCCCAATGCCCATGGAGATGATTCATTGCAATATTCCTCACCCCCTGAGATCTTGCCCTTGCAGACGGACAGAACACAAAGTCCTTCAGCTTCCAGCAATAAAATGCAAACATTGGTGTGTTATCAGCATTTCTCTCCTAACAAATCCCAGCTGAACCCAAACCCCAGCGCTGTTCCAGCTGCTGAACAGAAACCAGCTCTGTCGTGGCTACAAACCAGGACCCTGTTACAGCATGCTAAAATAAATAAGCACACCAACATGATACACAACTAAAAAAGTATTAACAAAAGAACTACAAACCATTCCCTGAAAAACAAAATGTATAAGAATACTTTATTAGGAGGGGGGACATACAGGCTTGGAGCATTTCTAGGAAGCCTTTTTTAATTAAGAAAATAACTTAGAATATAAATAAAATTTGTGTGTATATATATATATATATATATCAGATAGTTTCAACATACATAGCATTAGATCACATAACATCGAAGGTACACAAATGCATGCCACCACCTTTACTGAGTGCTCATCTTCTCAAACCATTTCATCCTTTTGGAAAGTTCATGATCTGTTGATACACATGTGGTGGATAAAGGTTCAAGCTTGGTCTTTCTCTGCTGTAGTGGGTGAGCTATGCTTAGTGATGGGAACAACCTGAAGAGAGTAGGTAGCACAATTCCTCCCCTTTGAGTTATTAAATTGAAGTTTTCTTCTAAATTAAGAGGTTATAGCAATGCATTCATCCAGAAAAATGGATGGTTTAATCCAAGAGCCTAATTTCCATGGGTGAATGAGCCTAGGGTCACCCTAGTAGGTATCAGAGATAATTTAATGTACGCTGGAGAGAGAACACTTAACTACTACACATTGCTTCTAAGTGGTCTTGAACATTAAACTCCTTTTGCTTTCTGTGGGCCTATTATCTAGACATTTTCTAAATCATCAGGTCTGTTTTATGGAAAAAATAAAATGCATCTGGCCATTACTACTTGCGTGTACTCACTTAATTTCAGTCCTGGGAAAACAGTAAAAAACACATATATGGTAATGGGCTATTCTAATAGCAATGAGCAAGGCTGATGAGATGGCTGGATAATCTGTCCCTGGTGAGTACTACAGTCATTAATTCCATCTCTGAGTCCCTGGTTTTCCAATAGGGCAGCTCTAGCACTGGTTTTTGTTGTTTGTTTGGGTTTTTTCCCCCCAGTTATCTCTCTAGACTAGAGGACAACATATTAAGGGATTATTTTCAATTAGTAGGGTGTAAGTGGAAATGTACAGTGCAATAAATGCTTTGTGTGGATACTTATTTCAGAGCACAAGGACCTTATTTTTTTTAGCTTAATCTCTGGTGTTAGTATGTGCACACATTGATTTAATCAGAAAAAAATACCATGCAGAGAAAGTCTAAAGTAATAAAATCTGTGATAATTCTCTATTTTTCCCCCTCCCTCAGGTCACAAAGTCTTAAGGTAGATAGTATCCCAATTTTTATAGCTAAGCCTATCCAAATCAAACCTTAAGGCATTTAAGAAATTAGTAAGAATTACCCTTGATAACAAGCATTAAAATAAAAGTCACTTCTATTTGGCACTCATTTAAGGCACTGAGTGGTACACTGAGACAGAGCACACAGGGGGAAACCTCCATACTGGTCAAGCTTACTGGGCTGTAAATAGCGACATCAATTCTCTGGCATTTCTAATGGCTTTGTCCTGAACTTACACGAGGAATTTACCTGGAATGATTCACTCAGAGGTGTACAGCTCTGGTGGGTGGACTCAGCTGTCTGAGTCTGAGCCCTTCTTTGGAGAGGCAGGTCTTCAGCTAGTGGTCCTCTCCCAGGTTCTCTAGACCATCCATGGGTATAACCCATCCTTGCCCATAACTAGGTATTCAGCAGCATCACCACTGCTTGTTTAAGGTCACTTATTCACCTTCTCTTCTTCCAAGTTCTCATTTCTCACTGTCACTTGGTGTTCACCACTGGAGATGGGATCCTGCCACGTGCCTAGTACAGTACAAGCTCCCAAAAGTTGGCTAGTTAGTGTGGGGTGGGGGTAAAGCACAAGTATGGATAGACAGAGGCAAAATAATTTCAATGCTATAGCTGCTGGTACCACATCTCGTAACCTTCCTTCACCTACAAGGCAAAGACAAAGTTTCCTGATGCTTAGAGTACCTACATGGGGTCCTCCATGAATCATTAAATGTACCACAGATACAGGAAAGGCACAGCACAGGGAAACTGCAGCTGCTTGTGCAGCTTGGAAAATACTTCTAGTTGAATAATTGCAGTGAAGGAGAGACTTCAACTCTTTAAATATATGCAGTAGCATTTAATTTGTTTCCAACCTTTTACATTAAAATTGGGTCTTCTGTGACACACGATGTCTGAAGCTGGCTAGCTTGTAAAAGAAACAAGTGGTTTCCTGATTTTCCTTTTTTTTTTAGTTTTATCTTTTTTTTGTTTGGTTGGTTTTTTTAAACAACAGAGCATTTACAGTATTTACAAAAAGCAAACCAGAAATCCACATCTGTACATGGAAAAGCTTTACCGGCATTCGTGATGCTCCTTGATAATAGAACTAAAGGCGTTCTGATGTAAACTTGTCTTCACTCTTTTTTCTCTCTGTCTTCTGTTGCAAAACCAAACTCTCACAACTTCTTTCTCAAGATTGAGCCCCTCAGCCATCCTCATAATCTCCTGAGAAGAAGGCTTACTTTGTTCTCCGAAGTGTCTCTCTAGGGCTTCTTTAGCAGCGATACTGGATAAAGGGATAAAACGTCACCTTTAAAAACTTTTCTGACACATTCAGACTTTCACCACTAGTTTGTAAGAAGGATCAAGTATGAGCACTGAAGGCAGTGACTTGAGGCCATTTCCTCTTGTCCTGTCACTTGTTACTTGGTTGAACAGACCCACCCCCACCTCTCTCCACCCTCCTTTCAGGGTCTTGGACAGAGCCAGAAGGTCTCCCCTCAGCCTCCTTTTCTCCAGGCTCAACAACCCCAGTTCCCTCAGCTGGGAACTCAGCACACTTGTGCTCCAGACCCTTCTCCAGCTCCGTTGCCCTTCCCTGGACACGCTCCAGCACCTCCATGTCCTTCTTGGAGTGAGGGGCCCAACACTGAACCCAGCACTCAGGGTACAGCCTCACCAGTGCCCAGTACAGGGGCGTAAGAGAACTTCTCTGGTCCTACTGGCCACACTAAAGAAGAGCTCCATCACTTACAATTTGTAAAATTTTGTTTGTTGTATCAAGTTCTGCATCTCCTTTTGCTATAGAGAGGGCACTAGAGTATTTCTAGAAGTCACAGGGACTATGGCAAGCTGTTTTAGCAATCATCACATGTTCTAAAAATCTGCCTCAATCTGTTCCCCACAGTCGCCAGTGACCAAAATTGAGCGGTTGAATAAAGAAAGTGAGTTAGACTACTGTATTTCCTTATTGCCAGATAAAATTTGTTTCCTGTTCGAGTTGCATATTCTCAGAAAACGAAGAGTATCTGCTACACATTTGTGTACCACCAGGATGCATCCAAAACTGTCTTCAGCAG